AATAACCGAGTCTCAAGGGAATGGGTGGACAGATGTCATTTATCAGTCACTTGTTCATCCAGCCAACCCGAGGGCCTGCAAAGTGCCAGATAAAGCTCTAGTCTCACATCACCGCTGCAATGATGGGAATCTGTCACTGTTCTTCCACCCCTCACCTTCCGCACCTGAACCCTCTTACTTCATCAGGATTTCACACTTAAAGTCTCCATAGGGGACAGAAACCATCTCCCTACATAGGAGAGGACAACCCTCCAGTCATCCCTGCAGGTGAACACGGACGTGAGGCTTAGGCTCCACCAGACAGCCACCTGCCAGACTCTGCCCAGGACGAGGGGACTGAGGGAGTCTAGGACTGTGAAGAATGCATTTTGGTAAAGGTGGCTGAGTGGCATTAGCGGTGTCCACTTGCCAGCAGCAGCAGTAACAGCAGTCCTTGCCGCAGGGCCCAGTGTCCAGCATCAGGGTGTCAGAGGTGTGAGCAGCGGCATCTGTCCCCAGCAGCAGGGGCAGGGGTTCCTATGAAGGACCTGACTGAGGGTGGACTGTGGATTCTGCTCCTGGCTGTGTAGCCACAAGCCTGGCTTTGTGGCCTTCCCTCCAATAAAATTAGCCCCAATAGCATATATATTAGCTCGTTAAATATAAAGTGTTTGATTTCCAATCAAAAGTGTAGTTTATTATGTCTCAAACAAGAAGCAGTACAATTAATCAAAGTTTGCGCCTGAACCATCAACACAGTTTTGCCATCTTAAGGGTAGCTTGTTTATGTCAGCAGCGAAGAAGCCTGGAGAGCAAGTGGCGATGAAATCACAAAAGACATTTTCCACAGCTTGTTGACAATTGAATATTTTTAATCGCAAGAAGAGGTCCAGGCCCGGTGCGGTGGCTGATGCCTGTAATCCTCTGAGAGGCTGAGGCAAGAGGATCACTTGAGCTCAGGAGTTGGAGACCAGCCTTAGCCAGAGCGAGGCCCCATCTCTACTAAAAATAGAAAAAGTTAGCCAGGCCCAGTGGTATGTGCCTGTAGTCCCAGCTACTTGGGAGGCTGAGGCAGGAGGATAACTTGAGTCCAGGAGTTTGAGGTTGCTGTGAGTTAGGCTGATGCCACGGCACTCCACTCAGGGCAATGGAGTGACTCTGAAAAAAAAAAAAAAGAAATGGTCCAAAGCCTGGAAGAAGTGACAGTCAGTTGGTACAAGGTCTGGTGAATATGGTGGATGACAGAGAGTTTCCAAGTCCAGCTGCTATAGTTTGAGTGGCTTGTTTGTATGACATATGGTCAAGGGTTCTCTTGCAAGAGGATTGACCTGTCTCTATTGACCAATCTTGGCTCCTTAATCTCAAGCATCCTCATCATTTCATCCAATTGGTTGCAGTAGACATCCACTGTAATCGACCGACCAAGTTTCATGAAGCTGTAGCAGATAAGACCAACGCTGGACCACCAAACTGACACCGTTAGCTTTTTTGATGAATATTTAGTTTTGGACTGAGTTTCAGCACTTATCTTTATCCAACCATTGTGCCGAATGCTTGCGATTGTCAAAAAGAATCCATTTTTCATCACACATGACAATACGGTGTAGAAATGGTTCACCTTTACATCCTGACAGCAAAGAAAGGCAGACTTCGAGACAATTTCTTTTCTGATGCTCATTTAATTCATGTGGTATACACCTATCCAGCTTCTTTACCTTGCCGATTTGTTTCAAATGATCCAATATCGTTGCAATACTACTTTATGTGTAAATTAGAAAACTTTGCCTTCCATTGTTCGCTCCAAGAAGTGAGTGAGAAATCAATCTGGGGAACAGTGTCAGAGAGCAGCATTCAGAGATGTTCTTTATGTAGAGCTGAGAGCCACTTCTGGAATCTTCTACCTGGTCCTACCCCACCATAGAGAGAATGATGCGAATCTCCCAACATCATGTCTCATAATTAATGACATATGTTCTCCCTTTTCTTCTTGGGGGAAAAGAGGACATTTAAATAGGTGTAAGATCCACCCTGGGCACCCTCTGGTCACTGGCCTCAGGGCTGCACTCTGGCTGGGCACTGGGCTTGCTGGTGGCGCTTGGACAATACTCAGGCCTCTACCAGAGCCACCCGCTCAGAGTGTCCCGCACAAGAGCAAGGACTCGCGTGTTTACCAAGCCCTGCAGGGGGGCTGAGCGCACACGTGGGGATCCTGCTCTGTGTTCTTGCTGCGGACGTGTGACCTGAAGACCAGCAGCATCAGCTCCACCTTTGTCATGAACACTGGACGTCACGCTCCACTCCTGACCTTCTGTGTCTCAGTGCCACGTCCAGGGGACTCCTGCACACACAGTACAGTCTGGGGCTCCCTGGTCTCCGCGCCTCCTGGACGTGGCGTCGGAACTGTGCAGTCGGCTCTGGGCGTGTGGTCGGATCAGATCCTCAGCACTGGAGGCCCAGGGTTCAGCCCTTGTTACCTTTCTCTTTCGTAGCCAGTCACTCCCTTGGCGACCTCATCCCCGCTCGAGGCTTTAAATATCAGTTACATGGTGTCACCCCTAAATCTACTCCTCCAGCCAGACATTTTTCCTGAAGTCCAGACTTGTTGTCTGCCACCCCGGCCCCCTCCCCTGCACTCCTGGTGGCGCCTCCTCCACTGAATGCCTACGACGCCCCCTCCTCAAACACGCCCTGCCACAGTCGTCCCCATCTCCACCGACGGCAGCTCTGTCCTTCCGCTCACACAGCCCACACTGTGCGTGTCCTCCCGGACGCCTCTTCTCACACCCCAGATGCACTAGGAGACGCTGTAAAGTCCATCTTCAAAATGGATCCAGAACTCAGCGCCTCCCTGGATTTCCGCTGCTCAGCCGCCACCTGCAGCCTGGAACCTGCCCTCCTTTCCCGCTGTTCCCCACTCCTCGCTCCTCCCACCTCTCAGTTCTGCTCTCAGCACAGCAGCCAGACAGACCCTTTAAAAAGGGAAGTTGCACCATGTCGTCTTCTGCTCAGAACTGTCCTGTAAGTCCCCATCTCACTCAGAGCAAAGGTCAGGCCCTCCCCACACCCTCCGGCCCACCTGCTCCAGCCCCACCTCTGACCTCATCTCAGTTGCTCTCTGTGCAGCCTCCCGGCCTCCCCGCTCCTCCCACAGCGCAGACGCCTTCCTGCTCCGGTGCGTTTGCGCTGAGCTTCCCCTGCCTGGAAAGAACTTCCCAGCATCCTCGCAGATACTTCATCGTGTCCTTCAAATCCTTCCTCAGAGCACAGAGCTTCCATGTTTCTCTCCTTTGCAACAAGGGCCACGCTGACCCCCCAGTGCCACAGCCACCTTGCCTGTCCCCACACCCCACACTCTGGGTCATGTTCCCCTGTAACACTCACCGTCTTCTAACAGAAACACTTTCCTTGTTTGCTCTGCTCATAGAACATAGTCTGTCTCTTCCCACTAGAACATACACGCCACAAAGCTAGGAAGTTTTCTGTTTTCACTTCAGTGATGTTTCCCAGATGCAAAAACAGTCTATCCTACATCTGGCAGACACACCTGTCACACTGACATCGTTGTCACCTGTGCTTTTCTCACCTGTGCCGCTGTGTGTCCTCCCTCACCCTCCCTCCCACACCAGCCCCCTGCACACTGCAGCACACTGTGATATTTCTCTCCTGGGGAAGAACAATCCTTGACTATGGGCCCAATTTCCCAAACAAGTATAAATGCAACTCAGACCCTGCTTTATGAATCCATGAGCTTGAGTTGGATCCAGCGCTGAGATCACTGGAACTAAGGGCAGCGAGAGGGGAGGCGAGCAGAGCGGAAGAGGAATTCCAGCAAAAATCCACCTCAGGGAAAAGTGATGGGATCCCTCCTCCCTGCCAATTCCAGAATTTGTTTCCTTTAAAAAGGCTGGTGCAGCACCGTGGGTGGGACTGGAGCACGTTACGTTAAGTGCAATAAGCCGGGCACAGAAAAACGAATACTGCACGTTCTCTGTCAGGTGACAGCTAAAAAAATTGATCTAATGAGGGTAACGGATAGGACAGTGGTTAGCAGAGGCAGGGAAGGGTAGTGGGAAGGTGGAAATGAAGAGGGTTGGTTAATGGGCACAAAAGCACAGATAGATGCAAGGAATAAGACCCAGTGTTCGGTAGCACAATAGGGCAACTATAGTGAACACTTGGCTGCAGGGGGTGGTTCATGCCTGTGAGAGGATTGCTTGAGCCTGGGAGTTTGAGACCAGCCTGGGCAACAGTGAGGCCCCATCTCTACGAACAATTTTTTTTTTAAATTAGCTGGGCGTGGTGGCATCACCAGTAATCCCAGCTACTCAGGAGGCTGGGGCAGGAGGATCACTTGAGCCCAGGAGTTTGAGGTTGCAGTGAGCTATGATGATGCCTCTGCACTCTAGCCCAGACAACAAAGTGAGCCCCTGTCTCAAAAAAAATTTTTCTTAAAAACATAATGATTTGTTGCATATTTCAAAATAACCAGAAGATTTAGAATGTTCCTAACACAAAGAAATGATAAATATTTGAGGTGATGGATATCCTAATTACCCAGATTTGATCATTATACATTGCATGCTTGTATCAAAATATTACATGTACCCCATAAATATAGACTATTACGTATCCATAAAAAATAAAAATAAATTAAAAATAAAATAATAAGGTTAGGGAAAAGATGGAAAATGCCATTTAAGAAAGAGCCCTACCAGGAGGGCAAGAGCTGGACAGGTAAGAAAATTCATCTCTTGACATCGCAGAGACTCCTGCATGCAGGGGCCGTCCTGGGCCATGTCTCAGCCACTGTGATCACAGGTCCTGCTGGGTCAAGGTTTCACTGAAGGGATAAGGACAAAAGAGCAGTGAAGATGACCCAGCCAAGGAGTGACACATAAAGCCCATGATGGACTGAGCACCAGCTGGGCACAGGCCCGTCCGCACTCGGCTCCTCACAGCCTTGTTCTGTCCCCACCTGCAGCAGACTCAGCACAGCAAACACACGGATTCTGGAAGGTTTCAGGTCTTCCATTTATTTCCTCTCTTGAATTTTAGGAATCTCCTTTAATTAACTCATCAACCTCTCATGACAAGAATTTGAGAAAACAAATTTATGTTCAAATTCTCATATTCAGTAAGGAAGTAGCTCGGTGCACCATCAAGTTGAGACAGGGATGAAGACGTCCCAGGAATGCAGACCTCACTGGAACAGGAAAGGTGACTGGAGACAGGACACAGGTCAGTGTGGGGAGGAGGTTACGGTGGTCACGGGGGTGGGCTGGCCTCCCCACCTCCTCACATCACGCAAACAGGGACGCAGAGTCATTCAGAGGCCTTTGCAGATAGAGAAGTCAGAAGCTCTGAAGCCACAAAGGGGAGGCGTGAACAAATCCTGCATCACTCAGTCCCACACATGGCAGCTGTCTCACGCTGCAGAAAAAAATAATCAGGAAGAAAATCACATCAGTCACTGTAAGTGATAACACTCTGAACGGGGCACCACACACTCAAAATGTCCCAATCACAGACTCCCCACAGCCCAGCGGTGTCCTCTCTGCCCAAGTCCCTCCCACTTCAGGCCCCCAGAGTCTCACCTTTATACGAGCCATGAGAGACTCATCCGAGCCCTGGGCACCGTCGCTGCCTGGGGCAGAACAAAACAGGACCTGGTCAGAGCCCACAGGAGATGTGGCTACGGGAGGAATTATGGGGTGGGGGAGCTCCCCCATGGGCTCCTGTCTACACTATCCCAAAGGACTCAGGGGTAAGTCCCCCATACTTACAGGCAGCCTGAGCGTAGCTCCCTCCTTTTCCACCTGTGGGAAAAAAATGCCCTGTGAGAGGCCAGAGAGGAGGCAGGGCCATGAGGTCCTGGAAGAACCCCCTCGTCTTGGACCCCAGAGAAGGTTCCAGAACCGTGACTGAAGACCCATGGTAGGATCAGAAAACACGAGGGAAGGAAAGAGTGGATCAACTGCCCTCCTGGAGGTGTGTCCTGAGCAAGGTCCTCCCCTCTGACCTGTGACTGCTGGGGACCAGGTCCCCATCGCCACAATCATCTGTGTGAAAACTCTGTCCTGGACTTTCACACGTGCTTTACAAGAGTCAGTGTTGGCACATGGGGCCCAGGCTGGGTGAGCAGGTGTGTGTGGATGGAACTTCCCCGTAGTGACGCAGGGCACACTTCCACCTGGGAATGAAACCCCCAGTGGGCCAAGAAAACCCGACCCCACCCTCAGCCCTTCCCCACCTGAGCTCTTCTTCCTCCACATCACAGCAGCGACGACAGCTCCAGTGAGCACAGCTCCAAGGAGGACCAGGCCAGCAACGATGCCCACCATGGGGACGCTGGGCTGGGAAGGCGGCTCTGGGAAAGGACGGGAAGGTGAGGGGCCTGACCCCAGGCTCAGCCCTGACCCTGCTGAAGGGCTCCAGAAGGGCCCCTGCTTTCCCTGAAAAGAGATGTGACCCCCCATCCCGTCCTTACCCCATCTCAGGGTGAGGGGCTCCGGCAGCCCCTCGTGCTGCACATGGCACACGTATCTCTGCTCCTCTCCAGAAGGCACCACCACAGCCGCCCACTTCTGGAAGGTTCCGTCCCCTGCAGGCCTGGTCTCCACAAGCTCCGTGTCCTGGGTCTGGTCCTCCCCATCCCGCTGCCAGGTCAGTGTGATCTCCGCAGGGTAGAAGCCCAGGGCCCAGCACCTCAGGGTGGCCTCACGGTCAGAGATGGGGTGGTGGGTCACGTGTGTCTTTGGGGGGTCTGAGGGGAAGAGTCAGAAAATTCAGGCACTTTGCATCCCTCATGGGACACTCCAGCAATGCTCATGTGACATCCTGGGAATGGACAGGACAAACGGGGCGGGGGGAGGGAGTGCGAAATCCAGACACCAGCCTGGACCCAGGGATCTGGGATAATCTCCTACTCCTCGGAAAGTTCTAGTCTCTGACGGGGAGAACAGGGACGTCCGGTCCTGGCCTGAGTGAGGCCAGCGACTCAGAAGGGCGGGAATCAGACCCCAAACACAGAGCGTGAGGCAGCGAACACGGCCTGAGAGGAAAAGTCACGGTGCCCACGGCTGCTGCGGGGTCAGAAGGAACCGCCGATCGGTCTTTCGGGGACTGTCTTCCCCTCCATTCCCTGGGGACTCATCCCTTAATTGTCCCGGAGGGAAGGGCGGGTCCTCACAGTCACTCTGTGGAACAGGATCTGGACACCCAGGAGGCGTCTTCCTGCTCTGGATCAGAGGGAGGGCGACGTTCTAGCGTCGGTCCCATTTTCCTCCCCTCCTTGTGGGAGCAGAGCGGGGACGTCTACAGGAGATGTGGGAGGCGCCCCGCGGCCCCGCGTACCCGCGCGCTGCAGCGTGTCCTTCCCGTGCTCCAGGTGTCTGCGCAGCGAGTCCACGCACTTTCCCTCCAGGTAGTCCCTGCTGTGCTCCGCCTCACCGGCCGCCTCCCACTTGCGCTTGGTGATCTGAGCCGCCGTGTCCGCCGCGGTCCAGGAGCGCAGGTCCTCGTTCAGGGCGATGTAGTCGGCGCCGTCGTAGGCGAACTGCCGGTACCCGCGGAGGAGGCGACCGTCCGGCCCCACGTCGCAGCCGTACATCCACTGGATAGTGTGAGACCCTGGCCCCGGCCCCGCGGTCAGCCACGCCCACTCAGCCCTGCCCCCGCCCCCCCCAACCCGCGGGGATTTTGGCCTAAACCGAAAACGAAACCGGGTGAAAGTCCCCGCGGGCTCCTCCGGGGGCGAAGGTCTCCGCGGGTCCGGCAGCCTCGGGGTGACTCCCGGACCCGGAGACTCCGGGGGACGCGGGCTTCTCTGTGGGGGTGGGGAGGGGTCGTGACCCGAGCGCGGGGTCACTCACCGGCCTCGCTCTGGTTGTAGTAGCCGCGCAGGGTCCGCAGGTCCACTCGGACAGTCTGTGCGTTGCCCCTGGCGTTCCGTGTCTCCCGGTCCCAATACTCCGGCCCCTCCTGCTCCACCCACGGCGCCCGCGGCTCCATCCTCGGATTCTCGGCGTCGCTGTCGAACCGCACGAACTGCGTGTCGTCCACGTAGCCGACGGAGATGTACCGGGGCTCCCCGCGGCCGGGCCGGGACACGGCGGTGGAAAAATACCTCAGGGAGTGGGAGCCTGGGGGCGGGGAGGGGCTGAGACCCGGCCGACCCTCCTCCCCGCGCGGCGCCCGCGTCCTGCGCCCCCGCCGGGCGGTCCCCTCGCTGCTCCCCGCAGACGCCGCTTCCTCCCGACCCCGCACTCACCCGCCCAGGTCTCGGTCAGGGCCAGGGCCCCCGAGAGCAGCAGCAGGACGATTCGGGGCGCCGTGACCTCCATCCTCGGGGTCTGGGGAGAGTCTGAGTCTGGGTAGGTCCGTGGAGACTTTATCACCGGGAACCGCGGCGACACTGATTGGCTTCTCTGGAAACTGGCACCCAATGGCAGTGAGAACTGGGGCCGCGTCAGCGGTATCCAGGAAGAAGGACCTGACACGGGTTGGGACAGGGAGAAGTGAAACCCCGGGGAGATGGGGAATCCCCAACGCTGAGCTTCCCAGTCCGGGACACCGCCCTCGGGACTGACACCCTGAGAGCCACGCCCGAGGCGCTGCGACACTGCCCTGAGCCCTCTCCTCCTGCACCAAGCGCTCTTTTTTTTTTTTTTTTTT